AGACCCCCAGGGCACGCAGCTAGAAAGATCATAACCAAACCAGTACATTTTTTCTGAATGTACTGATTTAGTGCCTTTGCTGGTAGCTTGTAACCATCTGGGTACAAAGAAAACTAGAGAGTCAGAATTCATACCACGGTTGCATATGTTCAATTCCGGGCTTTGAAGGTACAAAGAAGTATTTCGATCTTCACACGGTCCTACCACCCGATATTTACCCGGTCTTAGCTTCACGCTTCTTTCAACACCTTGGAACAAAAGACAATATCACTAAGCACTCTCATGTACAGTAACATTTTAAGTTCGAAATGTTGTGAACGTTCATTGAAAGTAGGTAGATTCCGAGGGTATTCAGGGATAGGATCCCATCAGCACATCAAAATCACGGTGAAAGTTATTTTCACTCAATCATGTCAGGGCCTGAAGCGACATTTGCAGAAGTCGCATTAGATTTCCTTTAATCAGCATCAATTAGCTCTGAGACCACCCCAGAAACCTGAATCTATTTCAAAATCTGCTGAACATGCGCGAAACTCCGTCATCAAGTGATGTCGGCAATCGCTTTTCTCGTTGAAACATCCTAATAGATTTCACTCCCATGGGTGAGCGGTCCATCTTTCAAACGGAACGTCAAAATCGCCGTCGGTGAGAGATGGCGACGAGAATTTGCATACCAGTCGAGGTTCTACGCGATTTGTCAGAAACGATTATAAGTCGAGAATTTGGTAGAAAAAAAATCGAGGATTCAATGTGGCTGAAAAATCCCCGCTGAAACAAAACTCTTTACTTCACGAAAACTCTTCCTTTTTTTTCTCAAAACAGAATCCAAATTCATTCTGAATAACATATTGCCGTTAGCCGGTATAGAAAAGTGTTTAAGAAGAACCCTAGGAGCACCCAAACTAAAAAGAAAACACTATTTCATGAGAACAGAGAGAACACTGTATATTCTCAAGTTCCTATCAACAGTTACCGCTTTAGTAAATTTTCAGTATCTGCGAGAGTCTTCAAAGGTAGGAACAGGTTCATTGTACAGGAGGATGTGGGTGGAAAACGTTATTAGATAAGACTAATTGGAGAGAGTGAACTGATTGGAGCTGACATGGGAAGGCTCCACTGAGCATTCATTCCAAGGCGTATGTAGTAGCTGCTGGAGGAAACAA